GGATTATTATTATATGATTCTGCAAAATTATTGACATGATTAAAGACTAACTAAAAAATGTCTAAAATTAAAGGAAAAGCGTGCACTTCTGAAATCACGATAAATGGTTGATTCAAAACCAGCTTCTATGAAATTAAACCCCACCTTACAAAACTTTAATGATTCTTGTTAAGAATAATTGAAGCAGACAATCATATAAAGCTAGTTAAAAGTAGTTTGTTTTGATTTTATTATAATTTTGTCGTAAAAAGCAATTTTAAAGTTATTGCTCATTCGAATTTGAATATTTAAAATCATAAACAAACATATGTGATACATAGTTGTTGCTAGTTAAATTAGAAAGTAATTTTTTTATTTTTTGGGCCTTTCTAATTAAGGAACAATTTGAAAAACATAGCTAGACTATTCATCTATTTGGATCATACTTGATAGTTGATAAAAAATGCATTATTTATGCATTTCATAATGTATTTAATTACTTGATTGGGTTGTCTCAATGACATAAACCGATTCATAGAATGTACTAGTTAATCACTGAGATATGTGAACACATACTATATCGGTTCTAATCATCTTCAATTTGGTTGTCAAAATAGAATAAAAACACATCTTCAATTCAAAAAAACTCATTAGTCGTCTAGTATATTTCCTTATACATACCCCTTCGATTAAGACAGAAAACTTAAATGGAATACAACTAACGCTACCAAAACATGACAATAATCTCTAATGGTGAATTGGTGACCTATCATTACTTAATTAGTTGATCTTATGAGTTCAAAGAATTAATTTGTTAGTTAGGAGAGACTGAAAAAGACACTTTATGCAAATAGAAATTATATTAGTACATGTAAGCTGATAAAAAAAAAAAATACTAATAAATAGAATAAAAAATCAACAATCACATAAACAAAGATTAATTAACGTTTACTCGTTTAGTAAGGGAAAAAACTAAGGATGCATAAATTCCATAGTTAAATTGTACTCATTAATTATTATGAATACATACCACTTACTGCAAAATTACAACATAATTAAATTAAACTAACTAATTAAAAAGAAATCAAATTTACGTCATTTACATTATAAACATAGCATATATAATTAAACACTAATTGACTAATAACGAGGAAGTCCAGTTAAGCTACCTTTAGCAACAAAACCAGCAAGAAAATTTATGTAAGAACCCTTAACACAAAAATTACGAGAAACAAGCTGAAGTTTACTTCTTTTAAACAACTTTGTTGAACGAACGAGATCTTTACCTTTCTTCTCCTTAAACCATAACTTCATGTTACTAATATTGTTGTTAATCTTCGCGTTAATATTCCTCGAATTATTTGCATGATTATGATTAATACCTTCATAAAAATTTTCTGGCTCTTCAACAATTGTTGATAATTTGGTGTTGAGAATTTCTCCAATACCCTTTTGAGAATCTGTTCTTAGGGCTTTTTTACTTGTACATGGAACAGCAATTATCCACCCTAATCTTCTATTATTAGACATAATTAATAATTTTGTTTAATTTTCTCTAATTTAATTTTTTTGGGGGGGGTGGCTAATAAAATGAAATGAAAAATGTGTTGAGAAGGAAGTTATAATGATGTTTGGTTATATGGAGAAAATTTATGTGAAGATGCAAAAAAAGTGGGTGACTTTACAGCGAAGTGTATCAATAAGTTAGTGATAAGGTTCTTAAATTAAGGGTTTGTGTACCTACCAAACCTAACTAGAAGGTGGTGTATTTATATAATGCATGTGTTTAGAGTTAAGTACGTACTATATGCTACAATCCTCCTGTCCCATTTGTTGGACATGGACCCGTTGTTTTAATGTACTATGGGTGCATATACGGAAAAACTATATCAGCACTATTTAAAATGTTTAACTTGTCACGTTTTCTAAATCTGTGTTAATAATAATAAATAAGCCATTATTTAAGAATTGAATGAAAGATATATTATCATGATTTTTGATAATCCTTTGCTTTTAATTTTTGTAGATCAACATTTTACGTATCCTTTCGTGGTACAAAATGGTCACTCTTTGGTACTTTTCCTCTGATTAGATCATGACAATATATATAATACATGAATATATAAAATGGTTTAGTTTCTATTATACAGAACAAAGTTTTTCTTACATAAAATTTAAAACCTATTGTTTAAATTAAGAGTGATTATTGATTAATACAAATCTTATTATTTTAATTATATATGTTGAGGCCAAAAACATAAAGCTTCGACCCTTTAATTAAAGGTGGAATGTCACAAGCAAGCAATGATTCCTAAGTACTAACCCCCACTTTAGGTAACTGTTATTAGAGTTGTAAAAAGCTGACCCGACCCGAAATACCGACCCTAACCCTAACCCGTCTGAACTCGAAAAAATGGTGACCCGAACTCAACCTGAAACCAACCCTAGACCCGAGTTGACCCTAGTATTTGAGACCCGAACCCGACCATGACCCGACCTAGAGAGGACCCGACCCGAATGTGACCCGTAAATTATTGACCTGAACCGAACCCGACTTGAATCCGAGAATGACCCAAACCCGATTTAACCCGTCAAAACCCGAATTCAACCCGACCCGAGGTCAACCCAACCCGTTCCTAACTCGACCTGTTACAAACCTGACCCGAAATCAACCCGACTTGTTATTGTCCCGACCCAAATTCAATCCGACTTCTTATTGACCTGACCCGAATTTAAACTCGACCTATTACTAACCCGAATTTTAGGATTTAGGAGTTTTTAGGATAAAAAGAGTACTCCGTATTGACTATTGAGTTTCAGGCTTTTTTTTCAATTTATTAACATGGATTCCAATTATAAAACAAAAGTGGCCTTTCTCATCTTACTTGACTTATCTCTTACAGAATCCTCGTCAAAGAAAAACTGACTGGACAACAGCCACAAAAAAAAAAATAAAAAAAAATAATGATTGATCTTAGTATATTAAGGAAGGTTGCACTCTAAAAGCGAGATTGACGAAATTTTCCACCATGAAATCTCTATTGTGATTGATTTTATTTTTCCTAATTATCTTCAACTTCCTATATGAGCAATGATCTATATGAGGACATGAGGTGATAAAGTATTAGAGTAGCTGTGACTCTCTGAGCTGTCAATGATTTTTAAACGTATTTGAGGCAATATGAGGTGAGTGAGGTGAGTCGGTGATAGTGATTTTGTCTAATTAAATCAGCCAAATGTTTTTTTTTTTTTTCCTTCTAAATTTATCTTATAAATAAACTTTTTTTTTTTTAATAGCAAAAACATTTCATTAATTAAAAGTCATATGACATCTAAAATAAAGATTCGACGTTAACAAATACATAAAATTATAACCCGTAAATAAACTTCAAAGTAAACTTCCATATAACTACTTATATTTTTTTTTTCAAATTTTAGAATTCGCTTGTTTATTTTAATATTTTTTAAAATGTTTTAAATTATGCAATTGATTTGGAGCTTTACAAAAAAAAAATTAAAAAATTTTATTAACTTGAACCGAACCCGACTTGAAAATGACCCGACTTGATTATAACCCGCAAATTATTGACTTGAACCGAACCCGACTCGAACCCGATAATGACCCGACCTGATTATAACCCGTAAATAATTGACTTGAACCGAACCCGAACAGGACCCTAACTCGTTTAAACCCGTAAAAACCCGAATGTAACCCGACCTGTTTTTTACCCGACCCGAATATAAACCGACCTTTTATTGACCCGACCTAAAACCCGACAAAATGTATGACCCGACGTGACCCGACTCAAGCATGACCCAACCCGAACCCGACCCGCATAGGTCCCGACATTAACCCGTACTGACCCGACCCGACCCGAGATGACCCGACCTACACTAACCCGACTCAAACCCGACCCATTTACCCGAATTGACAGCTCTAACTGTTATGCGCCTTCCTTATATATGTAAAATGACTTGTACCATGTCAAGTGTCAACTTTGTTCCATCCTTCAGATGAGATGTTTAGTTCCTAATTTCCTTCTCTCAGATGAGATGTTACGTACATATACCACAACCCTGGTATATTTAGAATTAGGCTTGGGAAAGGTCGTGACGGATCTTAGACCTAAATATAGAAAAGGATTAATTTTTAAAACGTTGGACTCGTGCTATTTACATAATATTTAAGGCAATTACGTAGTACTTCGTATAATAGTGAAAACTAAATTGTGAAAGAGGATGATTCCATTTCTCCGACCAGAGACTACGCGCTAAGCTACGCCTCCTAGAATCTTGGCTGCTTCAATGAGCATATATTAATGCCATTATTAATCTAAGTACTTTTATGTGTTATTTGAACACAGTCGTAAGCACAGACATATCTATTCAATTGTCACTTCGACCAACCAAATTATACGCATCATTCTTCGAAGAAAGAGTGATATCGAATTAAGAACAAACGACCATGCATTTATTAATGAATTGCACCTTCCTAGACAAAGTTTTTAATTTGCTAAATATCTCACCCCGCCCTACCATTATTTGTTCATCTTACAATCACTACCAATCGTGAATGTCGGTGCTACTAATTGTACCGACATTCACTATTGTAAACAGTTTACAAGTACAATGATATGATATCAGAAGCTGATAGAAAACCACAGAGGATAAATAAAAAAGACAGGATTTTATAAATAACACTCCCTCTATTTCATATGGAGTATAAAATAATTTGTTAGTATTATAATTTATTACTCCGTATAATTATTATTATTATCATCATTACTCTGTATTATTTTTGGAGAATAAAAAAATGTAATTACAACTACCACAACTCTCATGTTGTGAATCTTGTGATTGATCATTGAGCCAAGCACTACTCAATACTCATAGACCATAGACCACCATCATTTTTGAAAAAAAAAAAATTGAAGATGGCCCAATAAGTCAAGTAGTAAACTCGGCCCATTTGATGGAATTATTGGGCTTTTGTCAGGCCCATGCCTGAAATACAAGCCCAATAGTACGAAAAACTATTCTGAAGAAGGCGGGAAAAAAAATACGGACTATAGTTGAGCCGCGGCACAAAAAGAGGAGAGAGAAAAGGAGAGTGTGAAGTACGAAGAAGAAGCAAATTTCAGCAATTACAGATTTTGTTTATTTCAAATGGGAATTAAGGTTTGAATTTAATCTTTTTTATCATAAGTTTTCCTAATTTTGAACCCTAAATTTCTAATTTTGTTTTTGTTTTTTGGTTGAATAATTGAAAATTAAAATTAGGGTTTAACGAAGTTGCTGGCGGATAATGCACCCAAATGCATGAAAGAGCAGAAATTTGAGAGCTATTTTAATCGGAAAATCGCTATTGATGCTAGCATGAGCATCTATCAATTCCTTGTTTGTTCCTTTTTTCTTTTTTTTTTTTCAATTTTCTTTTAAAATTCGATTCTCATTTTTTGGGTTTTATTGATTTTAATATTTTTGTAAAAAAATTAATAAATTGTGTTGTTAATTGTTGTAGATTGTGGTTGGGAGAACTGGAACTGAGATGCTTACAAATGAGGCTGGTGAAGTTACAAGGTATTACTATCTTATTTCAAGAATGACCCTTTTTTGTTTTCTTTTTTCTTTTAATTAATTAAATTATTATCATGATATAATGATTGTTTATCTGGCGCCTGTATGGATGTGGGTATGGGAGTGGACTGGGGCGGGAAAGCTGATGTATGATGGTAAGCGCTGTGCTTGATTTTTAAGGTGATGAAGTAATGGCAATAAGGATGTTCATGTTATAGACCTAAGTTTGTACTTGTAGATGATTGCATTAATTATGCCACTACTTTACATGATTCACCCAAACTAACTTGGTAGGGTCGAATATGTTCGGCCTAAACAAAGTTCCCTTGGATAGATCAAATTGTTGCTTCCATTCTATTACTCTGGAACAAAAGTGGACTAGTTTAATGTGATATTTGATGTTGTCCGTTAGAAATTTTAGCTCAAAATGTTGCCGTCTAGTGGTTATTCGAACTATGTTGAAAATAGATAGTTGATTCGAGTCATTGGTTCACTTAAGGGGCATTTGGTTCAGGATAACGGAAACGTAGTGGAAAGGAAACAAATAAGAGGGGGGAAAGGAATCAAATAACTATTACCTTTTCATTTGTTTGGTTTAACCATGGAAAGGAGAGAAATAGGAATTTTGTAATTGAGGGTAAGGGTATTCGCAACCCTAAGTTTTTTAGAGGTAACAAAGGAGGGGTAACCATTACCCTTAGGTAATGGTAATTGTTACCATGCCTTCTAACCAAACACACAGTAACGATATCGGTTTAGTTGGATCCGTTTCCACTCCAAAAAAATACACTAGCCAAACGTCACCTTAATGTTTTCTAATATATATATATATATATATATATATATATATATATATATATAGACACACACACACATTTTTTTTTTTTTAATTTAGTGTTGATTTTTCTACTTTAAGTAATTTGTGTTTTCAATGATTCTGCACCCAGTCACTTGCAGGGGATGTTTTCACGGACCATAAGGCTTCTTGAAGCTGGAATTAAGCCTGTGTAAGTTCTCCCATGCATTTGTGCTCTTTTTGGATATTTTTGAGCAAATACAGTTTCATGTAACTGTAAATCATAGACTGAAAACGTGATATGAAGACAATGTTGCTATGTGACAAATGGCTTGCACTGTTAATGATCATGTTTCTTTTATTTGATTCGAGTGAAATTTTTTCCTTCCAGTTACGTCTTTGATGGACCACCACCTGATTTGAAGAAACAAGAACTTGCTAAACGGTATGGGTGCTCTTTATTTGTTATTTGATCAGATCTCAGCACAGTGATATTATTGATTCGAATCCTTTAATTGGACTCTGCATGATAGTTATGCCAAACGAGCTGATGCCACTGAGGATTTGACAGAGGCCATTGAGGTATATTGCTGCAAATTATTACTTCGTCAAATAACAATTTTTCAACATCTAAATGTGCTACAAACTGCCTCTATTTTTCCTGGTGGGCTATTAAATTTCTTCTTTAACCATATATCTGGTGAAATTATTGATGCAGAAAGGCGATAAAGATAGTATTGAGAAGTTCAGTAAACGGACTGTGAAGGTACATCTCTTTCTCTATTTAAAAGTGCTGTTAGTGCAAGCTGCATCCTGCAGGGATCCAATTTTATTACTTGTTGGTATAGTTGCTATTAATAAATCAGAAGTCTTTGGATCTTGCCGTGGTTTCTTATTTGGTTCAAGTTCAGTAGGGGGTGTGGGGGCTGGTATTTATGTTGCATTGTATTAAGATGTTCCATGACTACTTGAAAAATACGTAGGCAGAAATGCAAATAGTTTATCAAACTTTGTCACTTTGTAGCTGAATTTGTTTGTGTTTCCTTCTCAGCGGTAAGATCATTCATTGTCTCAAAATGATCAGAACCACTCAAAAGATCACCTGTACGATGAAGAATTTCTTAATTTAAGTATTTTAATATCTATATATAAGGCAATTACTTAGAAGTTTAGATATCAATCCTTCCCATTAGAAAGGATTCATTATTGATTATCTTGAACCAAACTTGCATGGGTGAGCAAATCTCTGGACTCTAGTTTATTATGGAGGGCATATCTACAGGGATTGTCTTATTCTTGATTGTTTCAGCAATAACACCCAGCAATGATGTGTAAGTCTCCTCTTTCTGTTGTAACTTTAATACTACCTCTACATTGTTGCAGGTGACGAAACAACACAATGATGACTGCAAAAAATTACTAGGATTAATGGGAGTACCTGTGGTTGAGGTGATTCTCTTAGTTTTTAAATTGCTTATTGTGTCATACTTTGTCCATTCTTATGTAAGCAAGATTTCTTTTCTGGTTTTGCAGGCTCCTTCTGAAGCAGAGGCACAGTGTGCCGCACTTTGCATATCTGGAAAAGTATGTAATACTTCCGTATTTTAATATGATCTTCCCCTCTTCCCCTAAATGATTGTGTTTGAATGAAGAGAAGCATCATACGTACCATGTTATTATAGGTTATTGTATATTCAGTGCTGTTGGTTTTAAATTTTTAATTAGCATAATCTCATGGACAATGCTTTGTTCTTTTTTTGCCTTTCCAGGTTTATGCTGTGGCTTCTGAAGATATGGATTCTTTAACCTTTGGAGCTCCTAAATTTCTCCGTCATTTGATGGATCCAAGCTCAAAAAAAATTCCAGTCATGGAATTTGAAACAGCTAAGGTTGGGGACCATGTAACTGTTGGGGTTCATTTTAAGTTGTTAGGCTGAGTCCTCTATTTACAGTATCTCTGATTCAGGTCTTGGAGGAGCTTAGTCTTACAATGGATCAATTCATTGATTTGTGCATTCTTTCTGGATGTGATTACTGTGAGAGTATTAAAGGTAACTAGAGACACTTTTGAACTCATTTATATATTATTACAGTGATAATTGTCTTGCTGTATGAATGTAGAATAAAATGTATGACTCTTGTATTTGAGTTGTTTCTGTATTAAGGATTAAATAACCAAAAGGTTATCAAATTGACATCTTAATAAAACAAAAATGTGCTATACCATGCATCCACTCTTCTTGGTTTCACTGGGAAGTGGGACTTCTATATGTAAAGTTTTATTCAGGAAAAATCTTTTGAATTATGAGTTACATAAGCTTGTTTATCTTGGAAACTTGAAGTATTCTAGAATCTATTATTCTTATAGATTTTCCTGACGAGGGAGTTTAGTTAGCTGTTGATGGTGGTGAGGTTTCTTGCAGTTTTTTTTTATCTTCATGAGACACAAATACACAGATAATTTCACTTTGTCTTTTGGGAAGGTAATGTCCTGAAGTGGTTGGCAGTGATCTTGGAGAACTTCAGTGCTAGTGGTATGCCCTGGGTTTGGGGACCCAACAAAGCGCTATTGCCTGAGGTGTGTTATGTTTGGATAATGACGAGAGTCATGAGACGTGCAACCACTAGTTTTGTATTTTACGAGGCTTTCTTTAACAGAACCAGCTCTTTAGTATGGAGGGTTTGTGTCTGTATTCGTGGTGTTATCGGTTGATCCTATCGCCATTGTGGAGTATTTGTTAGGAATGAGGGATGGAAGGAGTAGTGGCTCCTCTACCCCCTCTCCCCTCCGTGAATGTGTGATTTGGTTGGAGAGAAATGACTAGATCTTCTGAATCGGGGCCATTATTAATTTCCTTCTTAGCAAAGATTATCTAGTGAAGGGAATGTAATGTCTTGCATATTGCTTTGAGAGCCGTGTTCTTTGCTTCAAAAGAAAAAGATACAGTGGATCGTTGAGCTAAGTTTGATATCGTAGAGGCACAATTTATTTTATTATTATTTTTTTTAGGGGGGGGGGGATATGAGGACAATTTAATATGGTAATTATGATTGTTTATCTTTTTTTTTTTTGGTAAAGAATGCTTCTTGCCCAGAAGTTTTTCTCGTTTTGTAGTTAGTAATTGAAATCTAACTTGCAGGTATTGGTGGACTGACTGCATTGAAGCTCATTCGTCAGCATGGATCTATTGAGAATATACTAGAAAACATAAATAAAGAGAGGTACATTTGAATCCCGTGCCTTGAACTTCCAAAATCTCATTCATTATTATTTTATTTCTAGTTTAATGATTTTCACGGACATGTTTTATGCTAATTGGGTTGTTGTTACTACAAGCTCTCTAGCCTTTTTGATTGTGTTAATCCTTGATTTAATAATTTATTCAGCTAAATTGTCCTGATATTTTGGTTCTGCTGGTGAAAGTATAGTGGTTATATCCTTATCTTGCTTACTTTTATTTCACTGATTACTGATAAGCAACCTTTAAAATAATAGGAATTCCATGGAGACATTGCAGTGTAAACACATCCAAAGAAGATTAGAATTTCTCAGTTTTTTTTTCTTTTTCTTTTTCCCTTCTCATTCTTGATTTTTATAATTTTATGGATACTTGTTACTTCCAGACGCTATATATGCCGAAATATGGTTAATGTGGTCTTTCAATTACCCTGAGATCCTTTTTTTTAGAGTACTTTGCCTGGTAGGTGTCTAAAAACAGGATTGCTTTATCATATATAATTCATAATTATGTATTGTTAAATGTGGCTGTCTCTGTTTTTCTTTTCATGATCTGGTCTGGTAATATTCAGTGCTAAATTTAAGTATTTATGTGCAGGTACCAAATACCTGAAGATTGGCCCTATCAGGAGGCCAGACGGTTATTTAAAGAGCCTCTAGTGCATCCTGGAAACGAGGAGCCTGAGCTCAAGTGGAGCTCTCCTGATGAGGAGGTTGACTTTTATTTTATTATTTTTTTAGTATTAGTTTTTTTTTTTATTCTTTTCAGTAAGAAGTTGCTCTAAAAGGTTGTCTTTTTCTTTTTAGGGTTTGGTGAACTTTTTAGTGAAGGAGAATGGCTTTAATATCGATAGAGTAACAAAGGTAATCTTTGTCTCCAGGAGTGTTTCTATTTATCTGGTTAAGCATGCAATTATGATCCATTACAAAGTAAATAGTATTAGTTTAATTCCTTTTTAATCTCTTTTTTTAGGCAATTGAAAAAATTAAGGCAGCTAAGAGCAAGTCATCACAGGGACGGTAAGTAATTACTAAAGAGTTTGTGAAATCCTTACATTGGTTTCTTGTTTCTTTACTGGTTTACATTGCCATTTTATTTGCTTGCAGGCTGGAGGCTTTCTTTAAGCCAACTGTGACTAATTCTGTTCCAATCAAAAGGAAGGTATGTCTGCATTAGTTATGAATTACGTATAAGATATAAGCATATAACTATAGAAAATCACTAGTATGCTTTCCATCCAACCATCAAGGTATCAGGTAGACAAGCACTAGCTAGTTTTTTTGCGTTTTTTCATCACTGTCTGATATTGCTTGGTTTGTGTTACTTTATACTGCTATCTTCAAAAGTTAGTAATCCTTTTCGATTCGGATGAAAGTAATATTTTTACTTTGACTGTAAATCTATTAGTGAGCATTTATAACTGTGCTTTCAACTTCAGTAAAACAAAAGAAATCTTTGTACTTCAATCATGCTAAAATGGGATCTTGTATATCTCAATGCTTGCCCCTAGTGGATTATTGAATTTTAGGAGGCTTTGGAGAGGGGGGGGGGGGGGGGGGGGGGGGGGGGGGGGGGGGGGGGGGGGGGGGGGGGGAGGGCCGGAGGGGGAAGTTAAAGCTAAATTAATATTACTCCCTTCATCCCAATATAAACTTTCCTTTTCTCATATGCACACATATTCAGGAAAGAGAATGGCGGTGGGACTTTGTTGAGTATAGTTGAATAACAAAATTAACGTACTGGGTGCTGTTTACTGTTTGTTAATTGAGATGAGATTAAGGTGGGAGAGCGCAAGATAAGATTAGTTATTGGAGAGTGAGAATGTGAGATATAATTAAATTTAGTCGACCCTCATGTCTCACCCAAGTGGATATGATATTGATATAGAGGGAGTACCATTTTGATTTTTTTTTATTCTTAAAAAAAAAACACTTAATGTCTGAAACTGTATTTCAACTGGGATAACATATTTTTTATCCTTATATCATCTGACAAACATTTAAGGTAATAAAATAGAAATGACAGGAGAATCGATGGCAAGAAAAAAACATACTAGAACCTTCAAGGCTTCAACTATCATCCATTAAATGTTTATGTAATCAGGAATTGTAATGTTGTATGGTGGCTGGCAGGGAACCAAATGCATGCTTGGCTCTTTCAAACAAGGAAACAGGTCTAGAATCCATTCATCACCAGCTAGTCATTATCAGACTGAAAAACATGCTGCCTTAAGCCTGTGGTCTGTAGGTTTGGGCTCCAAGCATTTGGCACCATCAATTCCAGTTCCTTTCTTTGGCGCATGAGCTGACTCCCCTGGTGAACATTCAGAAAAAACATTGCTTATTCTTCTAATTTCAGATCCTTAAAAAATCTTAACTGCAATGAATATACAGGACTTGTACATTATTGATAAGAGAACAATTAAGAGCACAAAATGTGAACGTATGAATAGCCATAAATTGTTCCTTAATATTTCGAAGTAGCACCAAGATTCGCATTTCGTATTTTATCAAGCTGAGTAAGAAGTTAATATGCTAACCAATATTGGGCCAAATAGTAGGCAGTTTGTTTCTAAGGGCTGTGCTGGTTTGGGTATTAGTTATGGGATAAAAATATGTGAGAGATCCTACTACCCAATCTATATGAGTTGGTTATATATCTTCTGATTGGATTATGAGACAACCTACTTTCAGGCTTGAGTTATAATTTACATAGACTTGTCATGTGTAGTGGCTAAATATTAAACCTGCCAATGTCAGTCCTTTAATTGCTCTTGATAGTTGATACTTACATAGGCTTATACTATAGCTTGAACACAATGATTTTTGTGTTCCTAGCTCTGGGATGGATGCATATGGAGATTGGATTGTAGATTTGTATCATTGTGTTTACTATTCATCTTATTTGGAGGTCTACTGTTTCTCCTGGATGCGAATGTTCTTTAAGTATTTAAATGTTTCTGGTACGGAAAATGGAGCATGTTGCTCAACTGCTCAAGTTAGAGTTCTGGAGATTTAAGGGACGGAAAGGAGTTAAAACTGCTAGAAACTGGTATTTGGTTATCTGATGGGACTGATTATATTGAGAACTGTTAATGTGGAGTTATTACTATTATATTTCCAGAGTGACATGCTTGGCGATACTCTGTTGGGTTTTAATTGTAAGATGAAATTGAATTCCTAATTAAGATAAGTATTGAGAAGTCTGAGAGGAGCCACCTTTTATTGGATGGATAGAACTTGTGATAAATTTTCAGGGATTCAGGCATTCTGCATCAGTTTGTAGAATTTCAAGGCATCACATGCAATATTAGCACATTAAACACTGGTTGAGAACTAGTGGTAAATTATGTTCTGTACCGGAGATGGTGCCATGAGCAGCACAATGGTTGAGGACTTGATTTTCTGTGATTGGGGGTCATTAGACCACAGTTGAGGACTTGAGATTCATTATGTTGTATGATTGAGATGGTCCCTTGTAATTTGTAATATTGTGGGTGATGATTCATTGTATGTGGTTACTGGAGCTTGATTTTGGCGAATCTGGTGATCATAATCCTGATTGATGGCTATAGCTGTGTTGGTGTAGCTTGCTGTCAAATCCATGGATGGAGTTCTGTGCATGGCAGAAAGCCTATTTTGAACTTTCCAGAACCACTGATGTTAGGCTCAGTAGCTCTGAAGTATAATAACTTAAAAACAATTGGGAAAGGAGTTTATAATTCTTAGATTTTTTTAGTTTGAGGTTGGGGAGCTGATGAGATATGTTGAAGTGGCATCAATCTCTAATCCTTTTTCATTATTCTTTAGAAAACTTTTCCTTGTTGAGATCATATCCCCCCCCCCCCCCCACACAACACACACACACACACACGTTGTTGTCCTAAGTAAAAGGCAGGTGGGCTTTGAGAATATTGAGATAATGAATCTTTTTTATTTCGAAGTTGTCTTAGAAGATGTGCTCTCTTACACCCTCAGCATATTGTCAACAACGGATCTAGTTTGATAGGCTTGAGCTTGTAAAACCATCTGAGTATGTCTATTTGCGTGTGTGTGTGTTTCACAGTGTTTGCACTTTGGCTGTGGGTAAAGCTACTCTTTGAATAATCATACTTGTATAAAACTTATTATTTTCCTGTTTTTTTTTAGGCATATCCCTTCTGGGTAACTGATGATTGCTAGATGAAATGTTCCTGGGTGCTATGTCATAGGGACATTGAAACACATTTTAATTTTACACGAGAAAACATTAAGCTGACAATTTAATACCTGGGTAATTTAAGTGTAATATTGTTTGGATGATTGTGTTTTTATACAGGAAACTGTGGATTCTACCTCAAAGAATACATCAAACAAAAAGCAGAAGGCTGGTGGTAAGAAGAAATAGAATTCCTTCTGCATGGATTCAAATTGCTGTAATACCAAGACTGTCTTTCATGTAAGTAGAAATTTTCCGATACATTTATTTATACAGGTATTTTAGAATTCTAGTTTCAGAACAGATCAATAAGAAAAATCAAACACCACATGTTCGATATTAGGAGACTGTTATCTTTGTTTGATTTGCTATATGCATGCCATTTTCTTTTGCAGGGCAGGTTGTATTCCATTTGAGGCCACGTTTCCCCCCGGTTGTTAATTTAGGACTCAGAAGGATCATTTGCAAATGTAAATGGATAGTTGGCAAAAGTATGCAGTATTTTTCCTTCTTGTATCTGCTGTTGAGTTAGGTGCTGCTTCATGTTCATGTAAACTTGAATTAGCACTTAAACTTATGTTGTATGACGGAATGAATTAGCTGTTAATGTCATGTTGGTATTTTATCCTGGTGAATTAGACTGAATGCTCCCAGATTGGCAATTGCCATTTTCCTTGCAAAGTTGCAAGCCAGACATGATAGAGACTATATGCTCCATATTTGCAGGGGATTCTCTCTTATCAATCCACAAGGGCATTGGTGTTGCGTAAAAGATGTCAAACAAGTGAAGGGTCGAGATTACATCTTTAAAATCTTACATCTTTAAAATCAAAGGTGCAGATTAAATCTGTTACATTAGCTACCAAAATAGTGTAGACGTGGAATAACCTTCCCTTGTATACCTTATACTATACGGACTGCCTTTCTAGGACTAAGGGGCAGAGAAGAACTTATTTATATTATTCATTTAATATGCATTACATCTTAAATGGATCGATCCTAAGGCTTGAGAATCGATCCCAAGATCTCTTAGAAGAGGATGAAAGCTCTAACCACTTGAGCTATCCCTCACTTTCAATTGCAAACTTTATATTGAATTATGATATCTGATTTCAATATATGTGTTTGGAGATTTCAAACCCATAAGGGCAAATTCATGGATCCTCTACTGAATTCAAGTACAAATATTAATTTTTTGATACGGAGTACTCCATATTATTCTTACATTAATTAATCCGATAAATGTACGCCAGTTCACTTCAACTTAATTTCACTTAAGTTAGTTCAGTTCATTTTAGTAGATGTGAACAAACTTTTATATAGAAAATTTATTTTTTAAAAAATATGAAACACAAAACGATGTCGTTTCACTTGGTTTCTAAGGTTTATTGGGCAGTACAAAACCCTGGAGTTGCACAACACTCCTCTGTTTTGGCCAACCCGCCGGACCAACTCACCTCACACTCAGAAAATTTGCTGTCACAAATACGCCATTACAGTATATACCTAATTTCTGTAAAACCTCAATATTTTTGGGTGTCAAAAAACTAAACTTTTCCTCTTTTCTTTCTGATATATTACCTGTTTACAAAACCCTAAACCCTAATTTTTCTTCCTTCAATTTCAAAAGTTGCAATTTCCCCTCTTTTTCAGTAAATTATTACTTGTTTAAACAAGCATTTGATCGAAGATGCAGCACGATGAGGTCATTTGGCAAGTTATTCGTCATAATCACTGCAGTTTTATGTCCAAGTATGAACCCTAATTTTCAAATTTTACCCTAATTTTTTCTTCATTTTCTGGGTATTGGTTGATTAATTTATTAATTATTGCGTATTGTTGATGGATTAGAATTGAAACTGGTTTATTTTGCCGAAATCCGTATAATGCGACTGGTATTTGTAATCGGAGCTCTTGCCCTCTTGCTAATAGTCGATATGCCACAATTCGAGAAGATAAAGAAACAGGTGCTTTATTGTTGATTTCTTTGATTTTAATTTGTAATTTTTGGTGGGTTGATTTTTATGTGAATGAATTTTATGCTATGGTTTGGAAATACAGGGATACTTTATCTGTACATGAAAACTATAGAGAGAGCTCATATGCCTAACAAGTTGTGGCAAAGGATTAAGTTGCCGTTAAATTATGATAAGGCGTTCGAGATTATTGATAAGCATATGGTACTCAATTTCTGTTTTTCTAGTCTAAGTAGTTTGAAACTTTGAATTATTGATTGAAAGCGATTTGTTTGGTATACATTGATGATTTTGGGGGTGATGTTTCTAGATGTATTGGCCGAAATATCTCGTGCATAAGGTGAAGCAGCGATTGACCAAGATGCATCAAATGCGCATACGGATGAGGAGGCTTGCTATAAAAACAAGGTGCCCTTTTTTCTAATTTGACAAGCTCAAAGTTTTTCTTTGTGTTTCATTTATTGTGGAGCTTCCGAGGCCTCTTTCGTGGTAGAGGGCCTCTATATTGAGTCATTGGGATTAATGGTAATGGTTGCTGAAGATATATGTGTGAGAGCTTTCTTAGAAGCATTGTGGTAATGATGCTGTTGATGTATATACTTAAGAATCATTTTCGAATTGTGATTGGTTTAGGTTCACAGTTATATGGGGGTTCTCTCTTTTATTATGTGTTTCCTATACAAGGGAAGTGATTTGGTTGTTTTCCAGTGTTACTCTTATACATTTGTACTGATGATACTTGTGGTCTCGTTGGCTATAAGGCCTGGTTTCATATGTAGTCATGAAGTTGTTGCCCCTGTTCTGGCAACTTCAGCGTTATATAGTTGCTAGATTGTGTTTTCTCATTTGTCTATGTTTAGTTAAAGTTACTTATAACCTTTCTGACCTCATATTGTGTGACCTGATTTGGTTGTGTTTATCAAGAGCAATTGTTCTTGAAAATAGCCAGCAGACAGGATCAAATGTTGTGCTTTATTAACTTGTTTTGGGCTTGGGCTTGTTCTGACTCTGAGTTATGTTCTGTTGCCATTGTTTTGTTGACAAGGACCAGCAAATCAACATGACTCTTGTAATTACACTGACTTAACCTATCCCAGTAACTTTATAATAACTATATAGGTAGTGAAAATCATGCTTCATGGACCTCAGTGAGATTGTTTCAAGAATATTTAGATGTAAATAATGTAGTATTTTGTAGAGAGATGATAAAAGTAAAAATGAATAGTGGTAATTTAATGGTGGAATGATTTAAATTGTACAGAATAGTTTTGTGATTTTTGAAAGTATGGAATTTATATTAAGTTATGGTCTTTTTTAGTTGTTCCTCTAACCTAATAAAATTCCATATTAAAAAAAGATAGAGCTCTTACAGGACTGGCACTGTTGTATGATTGTACTTTTTTTTTTGCCATCTTTTCTTTTCTTCATGTGTGATGCTGTTTTTATCTTATGTAAATATTCGATAGATTTATTTTCCCACACATTCTATGTTTGTAGAGTGTATGTACACATATCACTACTCTGTAAGTTCTTTATCCATTGCCATAGATGCCTGGCGATGTAATTCAAGCATCAAGCCCTCGCTGTATTGCGGACTTTGTTATATACTTCGCATGCTATTAGAGGTAGGAAAAATAGAAGTTGTGCAACATTTCTTATTGGGCATATGTTTCGGGTTTGTCTTATATTGGATAAATATTTTTCTTCGTTTATTTTACTGCTTATCTTTACCCTTTGTGTGTGTGTGTGTGTGTGTGTGTGTGTGTGTGTGTGTGTGTGTTGGGGGGGGGATTCTTGCCACGTTCTTCGGTCAGTAATAAATACTTGAGTTTTTATGTGTTACAGGGAAAAGATTATGACAACTCCTAGGAAGGAGATGAAGAGGGATGCCAGAAGATTAGACAAGGCTGAGATAGCTGCAGCAATTGAGAAGGTAACAACGTGTTGCTGCAGAAGGGTTCTGTTGTAATGGTCTTCAAAGTTATTTATATTAACTGGTGTTTGTTGCAGAAAATTGAGGAGGAATTGCTTGAACGCCTTAACAGAGGTGTCTATGATGACATAAGCAACGTTGATGAAAAAATATGGAAAAAAGTTCTCGCACCCTCTGAACAGGAGCTTGAAGATGATGAAGAGGTATGTTTTTAAATGCTCTTTTCAGGATGAAGAAAATATTGATATTCCTCCCTTTACTCATATGTGAATGATGGAAATTCCAAATTTTTAAAAGCCGCGGATTGTTAATGTGCTTTTCGTCCAATCCTATTGCTAAATGACTTTATGTTGACCTTTGGGTTAATCAGAATGAGGTAGAGTATGTAGAAGGCTTTGAAGATCTTGAAGAGGAAGATGATATGGAGGATTTTGGTCTTGCAATGAATGAACCTCTCAGTGATGATGGCGAAGGTAGCCTTTCCCGGCCTCTGTTCATTTTTTTTAGTGCATTGAATTCTGTTCATGAATAATCTGTTGGTACATTCTACAATTTGTTTTGTTTTTTTTTGAAATTTATTTTAATAATTTATTTTAATAATTTATTTATTTTTTATAATTGTTATTTTTGGAACAGATGACGTAGATGAAGATGATGAAGACTCGCATGTTTCTGATAAAAAGAGGAGCCGAAAAGAATCCAAATACTCTGCAAAGAAGATGGACAGGGATGAGCCTCTTTCCAAGTCAAAGAAGAAAGCAAGGGTTCTTGTTGAGGTATATTTTGCAACTTTTGTATGGTTCTTTCGGACGAGTATCGATATGATTATTGCCCTATTTATACCGACAAGACTCATTTGATTATTTGGTTTCATAGTGTACATTGTGAACCACTATGTATAAGCTTAGCTCTTGCAGAACTCGCATTTATCTTTCTTGTGGTTAAATGATATTTTCTAATTGGTGTAAACTAATCTTTTTAACTATGCTCTGTATCTACCATAGTTAAAATTATACATTTCAAAAAATCTGCATCTTATCTATGCACTCTGCTGGGAGGAAATTAGGGGCAACAAAAAAGAAGCTAGTTTAGTGGTGGATTACAAGGAAATGCTATGGCATCATTTCACTGTATCCTTTCCTGTTTCTTCAGATTCTCCACCCTTAATGATATGAAGTGAATTGAATATTTGAATGCAGCTCTCTTTTCTCCAGTTTACTTGTGATTTTTTTTTATTTCTTTTATGAAACTTAAGGCATTAGATATTTATGAAAGAACTTGGGACTGTCATTTTTACTTTCAAAGTTATTACGTTGTGTCGCTGATTACCATGGTGTATGAGATCTCAATAATTCCCATCATAAGCTGTGTCCCTGTTGCTGGTGTCACTGTTTGGAACCTTCGACCAACTCTCTCTTTCGACCAACTCAAAAACATTTGTGTTGAGACTGTTGACTGTTATGTTGTTTCCCAAAGTTTGGTGTTTTGGTGTAGGTTCATGGCATTCCAGTAAATGCCCATTGTGCGCTCAGTTGTTTCAATACACACCTAAGACCTGTCATTCTCACATATGCTGATTTTACATTGAATCCATGTTTGTTTTCCTTTTCTGCAGGTTGAACATGAAGATGCTGAAGAAAGACAGACCGCAACTCACTGAGAGCTTTGTAGAAAGACAGACTGCAACTCACTGAGAGTTATGTTCAGTTTTGTAAACTAGTTTAGGTTATGTGACAAAAGACTTATCACTTACAAATGAGAGGTGAAACTGTTGTAGGCAATTGTGATAGTTATTATGGATTTATTCA